CCAGGCCTGGGGGAGAGGGACCGCAGGATGCCAGGGCCCCGCCGCCCCTAACGCACGCGGCCCGGACCCCGGAGGGGCGCCCTCTCCCCATGTCCTGGGACAGAAGCGCGATTTGCTCACCCAAAGCCACGGCGAGGAGCAGGGGCAACGGCTCCATGGCGCTGCGCTATCCCGGCCTCACTGCTAGTAGCGACACCGCCTCTTCTCCTTTCGCTTTCGCCTTCTCCGAAGGCCAGCAGGAGGGGCACGGGAAATCCCCGCTCCGGGAGGCGAGGGCGTCCCCGAGCGAGTCCAGGCGGGTCCCGGAACAGCTCTCCCGTCCTCGCGGGCACCTCAGCCTTGTCACGCCCTCCGGGGCCACCCCGCAACACCCACCTCCCCGAGAACGCGCCCCCGACCCCGCCGCCTGCGCCAGGTCCCCAGCAAACAGAGGCTGGTCGGGAAGCCAAGTGAAACGACCAATAAATATTTTAATCGCCGTTAAAAATAATGAAAACCTGTGCTACGACTTACTCCTTGTCTCCGCGCACTCCTTCGTAAGAACCACGTTGGGGGTCCCGTGGGAGGTGTATGGGGGAGACAGGATGGGGATGGGGGGCGCATCCTGCGGGGGGCTGGGTCCTAGGACAATGTTGGGGCTCAAGATCTGTCCCCACAGCACGAACACAGACTCCAGGTACAGACTACAACACCCTGCCCCGCGACTCCGCGGTACTCAGGACCCCCTCACCCCGGGCTCCCCACCTACTCCCGAGCTGGGCCCTGGACGCGCCCCTGGGGAAGGAGAGACCTCGTTTCGGGGCATCTCGGGAGGAAGGGGCGGCGAGAGTGCAAACGGTTCCCCTCCAACATATGTACAAGTCCAGAGAGTTAAGGGAAGACAGCGTGGGGGGCGGTCTCTCGGGGACCACGGAATCCCTGGGTCGTGCCCACAAAGCGACCTCGGTTGCCAGCCCCATCAGTTGGCGCCGCCGCCGCCGCCGCCGCCGCCGCCGAAGCCCATCTCCACCCTGTGTCTG